CTAGCTTTCTGTGGTGCTTATGTCAAACTCCTGACTCCTGTAATGCAGACAGCCAGCCTGCTTCCATCCGTATTTAGATCGTTCGAAGAAATCCAAATGCAAAACACCAGAAGTGGGTAATGGGTAGCTGGGCACCCGGCTATCTTTATGCTGTTATTAATATTCTTGCGTGCAATGTTTTGCAAACAAAGGCACTTACGATAAAAAAAGACACGTATACTTTAAAAAATACAGTTTTTTAAATCAAGTTCTCCTGAGGTAAGGCGGGAGGGATAAAATTAGGACAGCACCAGCCCCAACCTCAACAGATCTCTAGTTTTGAAACCCAACAAGGTCCTATTTTTGAAAATGCCTGTATTTCAAAAAAGAATTAAAAAAAAAAAAAAAAAAAAGGAAAAAAGCTAACAGATCAAAGTATAAGGTATTGCGGTCTTTCAAAGGACTCCTAACTGGGGAGAATTTGATTAAACAGATACCTTGGCATTTAAATCTCTCTGCGTTTTTGCCCACGACCTTACCTGGGCTGAGAAAGGCACCTCTCCTTTTATCACGGCTTCTGGTGACATTCCACCAGAAGAGCAGACCTCGGGGGGGCTCTGAGTGGCAAGGTGTGATGAAGGCAGCGGGGGAGATGGTGCTTCCACTTTGCCATCACATTCGCCCCTTGAACGGTTCAAGTTGGTGCCAGGCCCTGGGGAACACAGGAAACGAGTCTCACCCACGTGAACCAGCACCAGCTGGCGGTTTTAAAAAAGGCCTCGCGAAGGCAGCGCGCCGGCACTCGCAGCTTATCTTCCGTCCGCGGGAGGGAACGCAGCAGGACAGGGATGCCAGGCTTTTGGGGGGTTTTGTTTGTTTGTTTTAAAACCAGCCTCCCCACCCACGGCGCGCGACGTATGCGGTGGAGTTCTATCGTGGGGCACGGCCGCCCGAGAGTCCGTCGGGAGGAAGCAGCGCAGCGCGGCAGAAACGCCGCGGTTCTGAAAGACGCCTCTTGGAGAAGGACGGTTTCAAACACAAACGTTTCAACCTTTAAGAAACACATACACGAACTTCATTCTCCTGCTAACTTTATGAAAATTTACGTCAAAGCTTCAGAGCTCAAGATGTGACCACGGTCTTTTATTTAATGTAGTACTGTCAGTCCTTGATCTCAAAGTGCTTTACAAAAGATGGGAAGGAATATTCCTTTCATTCTACAGCTAGCAAGCACGGAAGTTCAAATATTTGTACAAAACTTCATGCAATTATACCTGAGAGTCGTTCCATTCTAAGAGCCTACCACAGTTAAAAAGCAAAACATTATTTATTTGGCCAAGGCAGAATCGCACCCTCCTACCTACGCCGGAGTGACAGCCAAATGGTAAACAATATTCCAGAAACGGCACCGATATTCAATGACAAATCTAGGTACCAATAAAGATTAGCGTAATCAAGAACGGCATACGTTACAAGCTGCTAAACGAACTTTAACACACGCCTTGGCGAAGTATTGGAATGACACGTTGAGCAGGTCATTATATTTGAAAAGCAAGCAGGCGAAATCAGAAGCAAATACGGCATAAAAGTAAACAAATTCGTATTTTAAGCACTCTATGCCCTAAAGGCTTTTTTATTTCTAACACAAAAGAGTCTGACCGAAACCTTTACACGTATGAAAACCACAGCTACAAATAACAAGCCAAAGTTTATACGCTGTCTGAACACAATACGCTGTGATCAGGTCGCCAACAGAGCACTCGAGTGAAACCACACCGAGGTTTCTAAACGCGGACAATCCCAAACCTAACTTTTTATCAGCTACCAAAGGAAATTCTGCTCTTGTGCTACAAGCTGGATGTTTGATCGCAGACTGCAATCTCGCACAGCGTAGTTAACCCTATTCAGGTGTGATAATACTTCAGGTTTTCATGCCGGTGGTGCTCATCTATCGCTGCTATCATTTAAAGACAGGGCAACAAAATGCTAAAACCCCGTAAATTCAAGGTAAGAAAAAACGGGGGTGGAGGGGAGAAAGTGAATTCCTGCCCGGCGACCCACACGTTCCTTTTTTTCCTGAGCATCCCAAGCTGATTCAAACTGCCCTGCTTACGTTGAAACTACACACTGTGACCACGGACAACTCGGAGGCACCTCCGGGTTGCGCTTCCTTAAACAAACAGTATTTTAGTGTACAGTAAAGATAAGCCAGTGGGGTCTGACTTGATTAATTCTTTATTAGCACGTTAAGAGAATTACACAGGTTCCTAAGAAACTATGCACTTCTTAAAGCAAAAGCTCAGGCTAACGAATGAGCAATGAAATAGAGTAAGGAGAAACAATAAACTCAATCATCCAGCATGAGCCACGAAGATGTACAACACAACAAAGTACAAAGATTATTTTTAAAACAATAATTAATATTTATTTGGTTTCAACAACTGCAAGTAACACAAGAAGAGAAACCCACATAAATGATCCATACTTTGTACACGAGAACGCAAACAGTGCCCGAATTTACGTTTTGTCCCGTTCTGACTGGTACCGTGAGAAACCTTTTTCTCTCCTAAATTCGTACTGAAGTATTTTAATTTCTAAATCAGAAATCAAAAGCGCTTTGCGTCAGCTTTGCTTACGGAAGACGATGCACTGGTTTAGCAGTATGTATATGAATATAGTATTCTCTGACAGATGGACAGTCAACTATTGTGGAAAACAGAAAGGCAAAGGTTATTATACCGCATGTAAAATTGCATCCGTTCCCCCTTAAATCTTGATTTACCACGTACAAAAATTCCGCGCCAAACTGAATACCTTGAACTCCCTCTTGGGAAAGTTGACCACTGCATAAAATGTATTCCTTTAACAGCCAGTGCAAGTAGAAATTATTGGCTCCAATGAACTACTAACTAAAAATAACGTATTAGCTGGTTTGCCCAAAAGAAAAGGGCTCTGTGTACCATGTAATCACTTGGACAGCAAGCTTCATTGGAATTGCTTCTATAAACAGTTTCAATTGCAACAGGGTAAACAGGAAAAGCCAAACTTAGACATATAAAAAAGTATGCAACGTACTATTCTGAAAATGTGGAAGAGTCACCCTTGAAGGTAGTCATCACCCCAAAATCTGAAAGGTTTCTGACTTTATTTTGAAAATGAGAAAATAAGGATGTAAATTAATCAACCGATTTTCTAATGAATATTATAATTCTCATTCTCTTGATTATACTTGGCAAAACCAGCCAAAAACATTCAACTAAAGCCTTTGAGACTTTTGTAGATGTGGTGTAACCGTACAGAACAATGCTACCAAAGTTCAGCATCATAAACGAAATAAGACACACATTATTAAACCAAGGAGCTCAGCAGAACAGCACTACTGAAGTTGGAAATCAAAGAATATCCCGCTTTTACAGACAAACCATGTAAAGATGAGGAAAACTGAACCTCTTACAATGTCTTATCTGAAAGACCTCCCCAACAACACGCTGTGCAGGTTCAATAACTAATGGCACCCAAGTGTTGTGGGGACACCCAACACGACCTCAGTGTCATCCATGAATAACTGACATGTACTTTCTTCTGCAAAACCTGCATGTTCTTTAGGTTTCTGACAAGCATATGGACAACGTCAATCTTGATCCTATACCATGAACGTCATGAATTCTCAGAGCCCTTCAGCTGTAGGTTATCTGGCAACTGTGTTACCCAGATGGCAAGATACTTAAATTTCCCCTTCTGATTTTAAATTAGTTTGAACTGGTTAACTTTAGAAATGCCATACTTATGTTTGACTACACCATAGTGATGCAACACTTCCCCCCCCAATCACGGGCTTCATTTTCCATCAGAGCATTAAGTAATTTCACACCTCATACGATCATTACAATATACAATTAATTAGGAAAAAAGAACACGGGGTAAAATGAAAACCTTGGGTATCCTCTATTAACTTTTACAGCAGTATGAACTACGCAGAAATAGGAATGAAAACTTGTAATGCATGCAGTAACTTGGAGTGCAATATCCCCTTTAGAAATGGCTCATCAGAATTTTAAACGTGTAATATAAGTCTTTGGATCTGTCCACCTCCATAAGTCTTTTCCTCCAGAAAATAAACATGAACACTGCTCCTTGAGTCAGTTACTTACTGTAGTGCTTCATAAGAGAATACGAAGACAATCCAGTGATAGCAGTTCAGGTTAAAAACACACTTCACGTTTTTTAAACTCAAGAGAGATTGATCACTTAAAATTCTTGAAATTACTGTGTTTCCTTTTCAAATCAGACAGATGAAAACTGTGCTGGTTTTGGTTTTAAAAAAAAAAATTATCTTTTTCACTGTGCTCCTGCTTACTCCCGCCTCCCCCCCCAAAAAACCCCCCCCCCCCCAATATAACCCGGGACTTAAAATGACTCAACATCCTCAAATTGTGTTTGAAGAAAAATGTGAAAAACACCTACAAAGCTAGCACCAACCTAGACTGTGCTTTTAGATCCCCAGAATCTTACCACTTGCTTGCCTGCTGTTTTACACACTGAAAATTCCCATTAAACTTGATGTCCTGTTTGTATTCAGTAATGACCACTTAAAAGCAAGAGGGTCTTACATCAGGACATCTTTGTCAAGTGATTAAAATAAATTGATACTTGTGAATCTGAGTAAGATGAAAGAAAAATACATCCCTTAACTCCCTGCTTCTGTAAAGATCCTCTTACTGAGCCACAGCCACATCTACTTTCTGGTGTGAGAGCTACAGACCGAGCAAGCAGTCGTCTTTTTGTCTTATGCAATTCACTTTGCTTCCATAACGATGAGATAACTGAAGCTTAGATGAATGAAATGCAAGTAATAGTGAGAGGACTGGAAAATAGGGACCAGGCTGGAAGGACCTCCTGAGACATCACACCCCTCAAATGAGCTATCATTTACTTCTTTCTCTAATCGTATCAAGCTTTATTTCAAACCCAGTTGGTCTTCTGCCTACACCACGCCTGCTCCCAAACTCAATCTCTAATTTCTAGCCCAAATTTATGACTGCCTTATACTCATTTGTCTTTACGCCAACTGGTCCTTCAGCTTTTAAGCAAAATCGAAAATCCTCCAACCAAGAGAAGGATGACGGATCGAGGGCAGCCCCGTCATTATTCCGGCTTATCATGACAGAAGAGGAAACCGCTGATTTCACCTGTCACGAGTCACAAATCCGAACACACGGTGCATACACCCCCCTCGCAGTGCATCGATCCACGCTCCCACCCGTCCCGGTGCCAGCTGAGGGCACTCTTCTCACTGCACACAAACTGCTGCACGGGATCTCTGCTATTTCATTGCAATGAAGGGATTTTCAAACCAGGAGCCTAGTTTGAACCACCTAAATCTGATTTAATTGGAGATCATTCAGCAAGCTACTACTGTGGAAGTAACAAGAACACTGCATTAGCAACTCTCCCCCAAACATTAAAGCTGCAGAATAAGGTAAAAAAAATTTTCCCCTCTAAATTTAGAAATATTAAAAAAAAAAATTCTACTGTTCAGATGCGAGAAGCAAAAAGAGATACTGACATTATGTTTAAAGTTTTTTCCCTTTGTCGTACAACCCAAGTGACCATTAAAAGTTATCTATTCTTTTTGACATCAAGGAAACTAAAAGTAAATATCTGAAGTGAACTTTCCATTCTATTTAATTGGTCCATCTTCTCAGTATAGATTAAAATAAACCTTTTCTGCCGGAAACTAACACGTAGTACTCAGAAAGCTACCGCTTCCTCCATTTTATGTCACAAATTATATCCCCATCTTCTAAGAGTATTATTAAAATACAGCATTCGTAATTTTTCTTTCTTTGTGCACTGGAGAATCAAACTGGTTTACGACTGCAATGAAGAAAATACAAAACTATGCTGAAAAACAAGCTGTTCACAGATAATGGTACATATCCGCTGCCTCCAACAGATCAACAGTAGAAAAACATCCGTTTCCATGAGCAAGTGTAACAAATCAATAGCTGCTCATTACTCAGAGAGAGGTCTAAAAGTAAACAGCAAGAGGTAAAGGTCCTGCGATCTACAAAATCTCAACTGTTTCCACAGACACAGGAGCAACAGTCTTTCAACACCAGGCAATTCTGGATTCAAAACCTTTGCAGCTACTTCTTTTACCGTAAGGACTCAAACATTTTGTATTTTGTTTGTAAGTACCGCTTTGCAAAGAAGTAAAAGGGAAATCTGAGCACGAGCGCTTCATACACATACATCAAATACTTCCTTCCAGGGCTTCAGCAGTTAACATTAAAGTTGGATCAATACCAGACACAGCTTTCCAAATTTTGTGGAACGTGGGATCGAGCAGGACTTAAAACTGGATATAAACGTTATCGGTAGTAATAAAGCGGGACAGCGACCTGTATTTTCTTCTCACTAAATATTTCACTTAAAGCATCAGTAAACAAAAAACAGAAAAACACAAACTTACGAGAGAGAGAATGCGTGCCTTTGGGTAAGTACTCAAACAGCAGAGAACTATCCTCTCCCAGCATGTCGGCTTTCAGAGACAGCAAACTGTTCTTACTCATGAGAGCCGCGCGCAGGTTGGCGACGGTGGCAGCCTGGAGCGCGTCCTCCTTCTCCGGAGTCAGGGGCTGGGAGATGTAGCTGGCCTCCCCCCCGAGGAGGGCTTCATCGACGCTCCCGTAGGGGTCCGCTCGGTCCGCTCTGCTGTCAGAGCTGCTGGGCTCCGTTACGCTCACGTCGGCACCTGCGCGACGAAAGATGCCGTCAGAGACGCAGACGGATTCCCGAGACGAGGCACACCGACCGCGCAGGCCCGTCGCACCGCGGGCCCAAGCGACTGCCAGGCGGGAACCGCTCACCGCCTCTTCTGGCCTTACTGCCACCCTTCACGTGCCTCGACCCCGCTTCCCGAAAGGCCGAGGAGGGAGCGGGCCGTTCGAGGCTCGCTGGAAAGCACACCCGCCCGCGGCCGGGGGATCTCTGCCCCTCCAGCCTGTGCCCAGCTGCACCCTGCACCCATCAGCTGGCCTTAACTCCAGCACCGCGCACCGCAGGCCGGGCAGAGGGAGAGAGACGGGCTCAGCAACCTCCCCCGCAACCAGGAACCGGGTAACGCTGTTATGTATTTATTTATCTTAACTAAGATTTCGGGGTAGTCTGCTACTACCGAAATTACTTTCAAACATTTAAGTGCTGTTTTTTCCACAGTTTTACTCCAGCAGTCTCAATTTTCATTCATTCACTTCTTCCCCAGGTTTTGAAAAGTCCGGTAATAAACAGCCTATAATAGTGGACTGCTAGTTACTATAAACTCCTTGGGGTCATTTATTTGAAAAATACACATTTATCAGTGGTTCCCAGCACATATCACAGGGTAGGTTTTATACAGAAGTGATACAGTTGGAAAAAAAACCCAAAAAACAAAGACACAGATCAGCCACCTTACAACAGGTAGCTACTAAGAAACTACATAAAACCGTAACAGACTATTAACAAAAACATCAATTAGCAAACGCAAACAAAAATGAAAAAGCTACAATAAGGTTAATTCCTCCCTGCCAAAGTATACGTTTATTTTTGGGAAGGTCTAGTTAAAGAGTCTCACTTGTTAAATAATTCGTGTATTTTTATGTAAAGGAAAGTCACTCTCAGACTTCTCTCCACTCTTCACAAGAATCAAAACAGTATCTGCAGACAGGGCTGTTACCCCATTTATGAAGTGCTTCAAACAAACTGCCATTGCCTACTGCAGCTCTGCAGCAGCAGAACAGAGCTGGCACCCCCAAACCCCAGCCGAGCACCCGGCAAACACGGCTAAAGCCTCCCAACAACCGGATGCCTTTGTAGTATCGGATACTACAGGCAGAGGGAGAAAACGCAAATGCAAAGAGAAGGCATTGACCGCGAGTGGTCAGATGGAGAAAGAAGCCGTTTTGCAGATCCTGAACACGTCACTGCCCCCGAAACATATTTAAACTTACTTAATGCCAGAGGCAACTCTTACAGTTCAAAATAGCGGTACGGCGTGTACAAAATTAACACTCGGCCGCTTTCACGGATTCGTCTTTTGCGCCTCTCGGGGCAAGGAATTCAGGTGTTGTCTGTGTAGAGCACGGCACTGCACTTGCTCCGTCCAGAAGGCTGAACAGCGGCAGAGCTCGCGAGGAGGGACGAGGAGCAGCATGGCACACTCGCACGTGCTCGAGCGTCCGACGACTGCAAACCAGGGCAAGCCCTCAATCTGCAGAGCCTTATTAAAAAATGCTAATGAGGACGCTGGGACAGGGCCCACCTCCCGTAACCTGGAAAACTGCTCCAGGACAATCATCATTTTTATCTCCATTTTACAGGTGGTAACTACCAGAGAAAGAGGCGGTGACTTGCTCACGACGGCCAGGCTGCGGAGCCGGGGTCACAGACTACCACAGCCAGGATCAGGCAGTGAATCTCCCAGTCCCAGCCCAGGGCACATCAGGTTCCTCAACGCGTTCAGATTTGCTTTACTAAGCGGTACGGTACTGCCAGTGCCTCTGGCTGTCAAGTTTTTCCACTTCCTTTAAAAAAAACAAGAAGCCTCAAAGCAAACACTAAGGAAAAACCAGTCATTAGCAGAGTACTCCCCCACCCCGGAGACGTAAGTACCACCCAAGGCTGGGGGCTACAAACACAGCGGCGGCGGCAACCTCGCGAGCTATCAGAGATGCTCTCTCTTTAAACCAAATCATTTTTCCTCCTCCATCTGTGTTTTGCTTCCATGATCTCCTATGATCAGGTTTATTAAATCTTAGCCAAGCAGAATTCGATTGATCTGAATTTTTACAGGTTTTGTCATCCCTCTGTTACCGAGCAAGCCGTTTACAGGTATATGCACATTTTTCTACATGATAATGAAGTCTGTTTTAAAACCAAACGTTTTCCCGCAAAGGGAAATTACCAGAGTTTAAAAAACAGCAGCTGTTACAAAAGGTGGCGAAGAAGGTAAATTCCAGCCCATTAAATTGGCAACGTAACCAGCAGCTTTATCAAATCAAAGCAATGATAACGCTGCCATTCCTCTGCTCCTCACCGCCCACACGGCAAATCGCCGCGAGTATCAGGGGCCAGAAAGGGTGTTTGTCAAGCAAAGGGTGCTGCCAAGTAACTGGGCAGGCAGTAAATCACCTTGCCTTTTCCCCACTCCTCCTTCACAGGCAGTTACAGATGCTGATTGACAGTTGCCAGAATCCGTTGCTGCCTGCTGCACATAAACACTAATTGCTAAAACGCACGCAGATTAATTGTAACCACAACAAGACATTAAATGTTCCTCAAAAGCCAAGATTAGAGACAGACAGTGAAATAGAGGCTTTAGAGCTTCCAGTATTTATAGCTGATGTAACCTAATCAAATACACATTACGGCAAAATAAATACCCACTTAGTCACATAAGTACTAAAATACCCTCAGTACAGCAAAACCCAAAATGCACGAAGTTCCTCTTCACGGCGCCTCCAAAACCACTTCCCTCTTTTCTCTAGAATACAGCTTCTTTTAACAGGATTTAGCCAAAGAATTACATGAATCAAAAGTATCTGTCACTGCCGAGTAATCCAAACTGTTTACTACGGCGCTTCAAGAGTACGTAAACCAGGCTTTAGTAAATGAGCTTCTATTTTGCAATTATTCAAGGCAAGGGGTCACACGGCGGCCCGAGAGCTCCCTCCAACTCCTCCCGATCTCATTTTTTCACACGGCGGAGACAGTCCCTGCAACTGCACGGATTGCCGGCACCGCGCACCGGAAATCCCCATCGGGGCAGCGAGCTAAACACGGGATTAACGCCGCTCTGAAAAACTGAGCTCGTTGGTCTCTTTAGCAAATCATTATTTTGCAGTTATTCTGTGATACCAGCCTACTTTCCAAAACACAGACGCTTTAGAAAAGCCTTAGTAGTTTGTTGACTACTTGGATGAATTTTTTTTGTTATTATTATTTTTATTTTCAAATAAAACACAGGGAATATTTTTACAGTTTTGGCAACAGTATTTCCACGCATCCCTGAAAACTCCGAAAGCAACACTTAACTGGTACCTTGGTCTTATTTACAGGTGAAAGGCTAAAGTAAAAAGGAATACACGAAGCCCGATTACAAGCACCTTCTCACAGACGCCGCACGTCCTGACACAACGCGCTCCGCTCCCAAGCACGCCAGCGCGGTGCCAGCAGCGCGACGTCCCGAACGCACATGGGGCGGCTGCCGCGCGGGCACTGCCACCGGGGCAGGGCAAGGCTGAACCGTACGCTGGCTCTGCGAGGGAAGCACAGCCCCAGGAAACTCGCTCGCTTTGCTACACCATACGAAGCCCAAATCCAGATGAGAAATCCCATTTATCAGCAGGCATACCGCTACCACAGTAAAAAAAAAAATTTTACCTTGAAGTCGTATAAACTGAGCTCCTGTCACAAACCCAGGTATGAGAAAACCAAGTTTTACTAGTCAAAACAACCCAGAAGCACTACAGACATCTGCTGGCCCCTTGGGAAGGGCTATGGCAGAAATAAAGGTGATGCAACTTCCTAAAAGTTCCCGAATGAGATGCTAACGTAAGAAATTGTTTTCCAAGATGTAAGAGAAAACTGACGGCAAAAAGCATTAAAACTAGGCAAACAGCTGAAAAGATACATGTGTCATTTCAGAAAGACCAAGGAAAAGCTTCTCCATTTTAAAGAATCCGTTCGAGTAGCTTCCCTAATTACTTTAATACACAAAATGTTTTTCTTTTATTTCTTCTCACTGTTTCAGATAAACCTGCTTACAGCTTCAACTCAGCTGTTACTAACCTCCCTCCTCTGCTTCTCTCACACCACTTATTTGTTGTTTGTATTGTGTTTTTACCTTCCCAGTAATAACCCCCCAGCAGTGTTTTCTGTTGCTACCCCTATTCCCAATGCTATTACTCTCGTTCATAATTTGTTGGGCTTTTTTTTCCCAATCATTTTTTCATCTGTCAACTTCTATTTCTGCTCTCTCATGTACACAGCTGAATATCTTCTAGAAATCTGTAGCTGGAGGACTAAACCCATTAAAAGAGAGAAAGGTGGTCATAAAAGCCACGCAAGATTACATCTGCTACTGGAGAACGCAAAGCAGAAACAAGCTCTTCCCCAAGAACTGAAGGTGACGTTTTGCCAGGTCGCTACTCCTCAATATTGCTCTTTTCATAACAGTCTTGAGGTAAAAGGGGATCTGAGAAGTCTGTCATCTTCTCTTCAAAGTCCCTTTCTGTTTGGCAGAAATACAAAGCAGTAACGTTTCTCCCTCGGTCTTCGGAGTTTCCAGGATGATGAGGTCGCATGACATGCATCATCAAGCGACTGCCTACCTAATCAAAGCGACCCAGCTGCCAGCGAGGCGGGGGAAGTCAGCCAGCAACCAGCGCAGTCCTTGGGGGGAGCGCAGCAGCGTTCAGCTTATCCTTTACAGCCAAAGCTTTAAGCCGGTTTCGGTAAGTTTTCTCTATCCCCCGGGCAAATTCCAGGAAGCTTTCAGGAGCCCTTCCGACCCCTCCTCCCCTGCCCTCGAATCCAGCGCTTCTTCACGCAGCAGGAGCCGTTCCTCCAGGCACACCTTTCTGAACGGGAGGTTACCACTGCTCAGCCCCTGGAGTAAACTCATCGGATCTTTACAAGCCCTCCCAACCTCCAAACACGACGGCGATTCAAGCCACCTCCCAGCACAAAAAGCATCCTTACCCCTCCTGCGTA